TGAAGATTATATATGTCAATAAAAAATTGACACGTTTTTATCGTAGTTGTAATATCTAGATAATAACGCAATTAACTATGTAATTAATCCATTTTTTTTGTCTTTTCAATGCGAGCATTGAATAATGAATTTTTTTTATATTTTTACGTTTGCAATGTCATGTGCGGTTTTTTTTTAACAAACATTTGCGTAAACATTTATTTTAAAATAGTTAGCCAAGTATTAGTAACGATAGTACTTCTACCATTTGGTATCTTAAAGATAATTAAAGAAAACTTAAAGATAATTAAAGAATATTGATAAAAACTTAATAACAGCCTACAATTATCAGCAATAATTGTTTATTTGCTAAACGATTAGTAGTTATGAACATAAGAGAACTTAATACTATTTATATAAAACATAATTTATATTTATATAAATATTAACATTTAAATTTTTATGAAAAATAATATGAAACAATTATGGTCTGTCAGGCGACAAAGTATTTAGGCGGAAAGCAGAAAATTGAGGTGAGAATGGCAGCACCAGTACCTTTATGGAAATTAGCTGCTGCCAGCGGTCCGTATGTGAGGCTTGCAGCTCTCAGCGGTGCAACAGCTGTGATACTTGGCGCCCTTGGATCGCACCGTAAGTGAATTACAAAAAAAATGGCATGTATTATTTTAAACCTGTATAAACACGAGATTCGACTCAATCGAATGCTCTGCTCTGCAGGACATTATTCTAAAGATGAGATAGGACAGGAACAACGTCGAATCTTCGAAACAGCAAATCGATATCATTTTATACACACTTTGGCCTTGCTGGGATTACCGTTATGCAAGTTCCCAGCCTTGGTAAGTAGAACGTCATTAATCCGCAATAATTGTATCCAAGTATAGAGTTTGCATAATTTCACATGCACTTGTGTTGTAGGCTGCGACTTTCATGCTCTCTGGAATTATACTATTCTGCGGAAGTTGTTATTATACTGCATTTACCAATAACAGACGATTCAGTTCAACAACTCCAATTGGGGGATTTTGTTTTATACTGGCATGGTGCAGTATGTTCTTGTAAATATCGCTGTAAAATTAGGTGTTTTCATATAAGGAAGCAAATAAGGCATAAGCAATGCAATGCGCAGTATAAAAAAAAATAAATAAAAATAATACTTGGTAACATTAAGAAATGGATGATTAAAAGTTATAGAAAAAGATTTAAAAAAAAATAAACCAACTTTTTAACATGAATATTAATGTACTCGCAATTATTGATTGATTTTATTTCCAGAAGATAATAGAGATAAAAGTAAATAAAAAATATTATTTTACGGTTATTCGAGAATGGACTTTGAATATTTCCTTAGAAAATAACATATCTCTTGTTCAATTCCCAATGCTTTTTTGTCTCATCCAATGTGTTTAAGAGGTACATTCCTTTGGCGATTTATACCTACGCGTTTATTGAAGGTTTTGAAGAAAAAAAGAAAATAAAAAAAGATCTTCCGATATGAATAAAGTAAAATTCGTTTATATACTACTGAATCGATATAAATATATCTTTTGTTTATAATATTAATGACATGGGTTTTTCGCGTATCCTGGTTACACATTTTACGACAGTGCATATATTCAAGTTTTCTGATCTCCTTTGCCTGTATTGATTTTCTTGCGCTATCATTCGCGATTCGTCTTCACACAAAGTGAAAAATATTTTTAAAAAATTGCAAATGTGTCCACACGCTTAATAAACGTATAATCGTGGTAACGTAAGGTACACTGACATCAGCAGTACAGTATATCTCAAAAAAAGAAGAAAAAATATTTTATAGTGACAATGACAACATAAATTACAACTTCCGCTAATGAAGGTATGTGACTTTCAAATCCGCGAGTTCTGGAGGATACAACAAATTGGAGAAAGCGCCCGCTCATGTGTGCGATGTACATAAAATTTGAATCGAACAAAAGTATAGACTAACTTGCCTCACACACTCTCTCGTACAGTTTCTTATATAGATTCCGCGGTTTCTGCGATGACATAAGAAAGTAATGTACCTTGTATTATCCATTTGATACACCAGCTTCACTTACTTTATATATCCATTCTATTTTGTATCATACAATTCTCTTACAATTTTTTTTTCTTTTTTCCCTTTAATTACGACGATTTGTTTGTAAGTAAATGGATATCGGAATTTCCCTTCGATTCACGCGCGTGTCACGATGATGATTCCTTGGCGATTCCGGACTCTTATACTGCTAAATAAAGTAAACGATCGGGCTAATTTACTTAGAATATCAAATAAATGTTGATGAGCGTTACACACTGATTGAACTTAAATGTAAGAGTGTGTGGCGTAACGTGTGACTCACGCATTGCGTTCTCGATCGTTGAAACTTAAAAGCGACGAACACGAAGAGATCGATTACAAAATAGAGAATAGCAGCGAGAGACACGATATTGTGTACATGTGTCTGTATCCGGAAATAGTGTTGTTTCCGACAAGACACGCGCTCGCACGCTTTCATCACGGGCGTGCGCGTCTCGTTGCTGATTTTAGCATGTAAATTTTCATACTCATGTCTTCCGCGATCGCGGGGGATTGGCGACGTATGGCGATGCTTTTTAATGCACCACTGATATAAAATTTACTTATATCTAGTAAACGTCCTCCTTTCTTTCTTTCTCGCTCAGGCTATTTTATGTTCAGTTAGCATAGTATTTTCCGTAGCAATATCATTTTTCTCGTTACTATTATATAAAGTATTTATATCGACTTGTGTATATTAAACTATATTTACAATCTTTTTTTTTATTGTAACATACTGAAGATAAGTTTCTTTTTCCTAAAACGAGGTCGCTTGCAAGCCACTCGGTTTGTAGCAGAGCGTAAACTCGCACGGTTCGGTTAATTATGCAGCTTTGCACTTTTCTTTCTGATCAAAGTATATCACAATCCAAATTGCAAAGATATAAACATCAAAAGAAAGAACTGTCGCTCCGACGAATTTTTTGTTTCAAGAAATAAAAAGTCCTCAAAAGAACTCACGTAAAGGATAAAAATCATCGCGACGTTGAATTTGCTCACTGACAACATACGTAATTTCACGTAGATCTTAAACGAAGTTCGGATAATTCGCGGTCTGAATAATGTAAGAATAAAGGAGAAAATGAGGTGCCGATTTTCCATCCATTTCTAGGAGAGATGGAACGAGTGTTGACCCTCTTGCGCGGCTATCCGCAACTTTTCCCGCATTATTTCCAAAGTGGTATAATCAGGCAGTTTTAGGTAGTTAACGCAAGTCATTACTGATGGTAGAAAATCGTCTGTCTTCATAGACGGATCAAAGGTTTTGCGCACTATTGTTAACGGAGGGGTTAAGCTTTTGAAACCTGAAAAATATAAGCATGCACTTTACCGCTAATCTCTCTAGCTTATGAGAACACAAATGAAAAATGAGAATGACAAAGTATCTACCTCCAACGGGCAAACGCGGTGAACCGGTGACAAACTGAATGAACTGTCGTTGTTCCTCGCTGTTGTATTTGGACATGACCTCGAATAGAAAACGAATGGCCCGTGAGTCCGGTGTATAACCATGATCGGTTCTACAACATTCGGCAAGAGTTTTCACGTCCCATTGTCCGCCGGTTTGTGCGTGACCGCAAAATACCGCCTCCAGTTCTTCTGGGAAGAATAGTTTCAGTTGCAACGGAGGAAATACCGACTCGAAACCTTCCCGGAAAGCCTCCATTTGTCTGAATACTCCTTCGTATAAGAACCAGTGTACCACTAACTGAAATTTTATGAAATTGCATGATCATCGTGATTTCTCAAACGACATCGGCGAAGGAGAACATCAAGAGTGAGTGAAAACGAGATATGCATTTACCTTAATATATTGATCCAAATTGTAAATAGTAACAGATATTTCGCTACCGCCCTTCCTTAATTCGATATTCTCGTAGCCCGGTAATTCAAACACAAGACCCAGTTCGGAAATGGGACATGTGTCTAAATCGAGAGCCTCAATTAATTGCGCTTTCTCGTGCGGTCGTAGCGTCTGATCCTTCTCCATAGCTTCTTTCTTCCTCACGACCTCTTGGAGCTTGCTAAGAGTGCGATATACATCGGGACATACGTATGTCAAGTCGGCTAATGTAAGAGTATGTTCCTCTCCCAATAACCAACGATAGAAGGTTAAACTAAATGGCAAATCCAACTAAAAGAGACAATTCAATATGTTAAGAACGTAATCGAAGAGAGATTTGAAAAGATTTTACGAATAAGATATGCTAATTTTTACCATTCTGGAATCGTATATTGCTTTCGCCATGAATTTCCCAAGGAATTTGAACTTGGTCTTCAATTTTGCTAGATGCGATACTTTAGTGTTCCATGGGATTGGCGTCGGGAAGAGCCCGTGCGAGGAATTAACATATCCGTTTTCAGTAGGATTCGAATTGCCATGCCACAAGTCTAAATCAGCGCGTTGCAGTTCCTTAGAGACTAGAGCGTAGAATTCCAGAGTTGGACCGAGACCAGTACCGACCTGTAATATAAATACTACGTTAGAGACTTGCAATAAGATTGACAGTCCAAGGAGGATATGTACATAAAAATCAACTAACCTCGTTGACGTATTGCACTTCAAGTAAGGCCTTATTAGAGGCTAAATCTTGAATCACTAACTCCGCTTGCTTAAGAATGTCCGTTCTCGAGATAGTTCTCTTTCTTCGTTCTAAGCGTGGCGTAACACGCTCCTGACTGTCTGATCCTGAAAGTTCTGGCGCGGAATCCAAGAGACGTTGTAGTGCTCTATCTCGATCAAACGATGTTGCATACAACAAAAGCTGCCTCGTCTCAAATGGAAAGAGAAAAGGACTGGAAATTGAAATTAATTATTGCAAATGAATTCTTGAATTATAAAATCAGTAAAATTAAATCAATGATCGAGTTATTCGCTTTACTGACCAGACAGACGCTATCTGTTGTAACCAAGATGGCAAGTTTCCAGTCATGATCACCAGTGGATCCTGCAGTTGCCTGCTAGCTTTTGCGGCGATCTTATTATTGATAAAGTCCTGAGGTGATAGCAGGCTCATGCTTTTTAGATGAGGAAACAATATGCCCCAATGGCGATTAAGAGCGTGCAAGAGCCGCAAAAGACACAACCCATCGAGAGAGGCGTCCGTGATAGTTACCGAGGGCGGTAATGTGGGAGATAGATATGGCGCGAGGGGACAGTGTTGAAGAGGAACCGTGCCTTCTAGCCAAAGACTATCTTCTTTTCTCTTTGAACTAATCTTTGTACTTTTTCCCTTGCCCTTCCTGCTATTACCCTGTGAGCTCGACCCTGATTTTGGAGAGGTTGCGGCATCTTCTTCTGGTACAGGTCTGCGTTCAGAAAAAATAAAATATTTCTTTTCGGATCAGTATAAAAGTCGATGGTCTTATAAGTTTCTTTAAAAAATGATATCAGCACTAGTTCTGTAACTTTTAATGATAGTAATATTGATGTTAAGTGTCGGCGTTTTTACAAAATGAGTTCTAAGTGTACTTTAAAATTTCTGAAATAAATGTCTGAATGTTTGAAAATACCTATAGTATATCGTATGGGTTTGCACCCATACCGCATCGTGTCCAAGTGGCGGTTCACTATCGGCCTCTGCCTCAGAGTGATCCACTCCGGAACATCCAAATTGCCTGACAGCTTGATAAACCGTCATGTTAAAAGGTAGGACTATGTCGCCAATTAAAAACTGAAGTTTATGTTTCGGCGGTCCTTGGCTTATCACAACTGCCGCCTGGAAAGAAAAGCGGCAAATGTAATCGCTTGCACCGATTTTATCGGTTTTCTCTAATCTAAAGATAGATACTCCATTGGAAAGGTATATACCAGAGTATCATCAATGTCATCTTCGCTATTGTCGTCATCACTGACCATCGAATCAGCGTCCCGTATTCTGCCATATCCACGTACCATCAAATAACGCTCAATGGCCTGTACTAATGCAAGCGGATCTATTTTTACAGTACCGCCCTTCCACTGCTTCAAATTATTACAGTCCGGATGCCGTTGAAGATTACACTGCACAATTCAATGAAATGTTGCGTGTATATTTCGGCGTTTGCATAGAGTCTTGTCTTTTCTCGTGATAATTAAATTTTATATATTTTAGATAGTTACCTTAAGTTGATGCGTATTGAAGAATTTCAGAGCACTGGTACCGCCACGGCCAGCGCCAGAACCCGCAGGTAAATCGTGAACTTTCACCGGGAATTGTTCTAGCTGTGCAACGCAGCTATTCAATTTCGTTACTAAAGCACCAAACGCCCCAGGATTAAGATCCATAATATCGTTGTTCTGTTGCATCTGAATAAATTGTATCACAAGAATTACTTATATATTCATTTGAAATGGAGAAGGGTAGAAAGATCGATTTTACTTACAGTAGACTCCGCAAACAATTTCCAAAACATACGAAGACGGTCGTAACGGTTACCCGGTGCATCTGTGGTAGTGAGGTAGTTCAACAGAGCCTTGATAAGGCCGCTGTAATTCATTTCAAACGGCGATATATCGCTCTCGAGAACTATGTCCCGTAATTCCGTTAGTGCTGATAACATTTCGTCCAATTCCTATAAACGTAAGTGCGAATTGTGAAAAATCTGCAGATATAAATAGATTTATTATATATGATCGATTTTTGAATGTTAATTTTGAATGTTAATTATTATTTGATATTTAATAAGAACTAACATGTTCTCTCTCTCTCTCTCTCTCTTTCTCTCTCTCTCTCTCTCGTAAATATACTAATAATATGATAAACACAAACTTTGTGATCAAACTTTTTTATCACCCTATTTATACATAAAACTATTTAAAGATAAAGCTATAGCATAAATATTGATAAAACATCCAATGTTCAGCAACCTTTATTAATAATAAATTGTTTATTTAATGCACTTACATTTGATTGCAATCGCTGTATCGCAGCAGTTAATCGAGCAAGAACTGTTAGGGCAGGATGCGAGCAAGGTGCATCATCTTGGTATCTTGCCAAAAATTGGGCTGCTTGTTCACGCACCCATGCTTTTGCCTTATCCCGATTTCCACCAGTTAAGCTTGGATTACTCGGTGGTTTTGACAGATTCGTGGATGAGCTCGAGTCTCTCTTGTCGTTGCTAGTACTGGACGAGGACGATTTCCGACCCCATTTGGCTGGATTGAGATTTCCCAAAAATCGATTATTCTTTGGGGTAAAACCAGTAAACAGGGACTCCGGCTGTTGTGTTTGTTGCGGTGTGGTGGTGCCCCCCAATCTGGAGAAACGACCCTTCTTATTCTGTCGTTTTTTCTTCAGTACATCACCAATCCTTCTAATAAATAGAAAGACATGATTTATAAATAGGATAACTGATTATTTAAAAAATTGTAAATATATCAGTGAAGACATCTCGTACTAACAAGTGAGCACTTTGCGGTGCGCTTGTTTCCTCTACGCTGTTGTTTAATTCCGTTCTGTGTGGTTCCAGCGAAGCACTGATATTTGGTTTATACTGGCACGACGACGCGATTGTGCCAAACAATATGTTGCCATTCGAAGATGGAGAGACAACTGGAGATGTGGCACTACTAGAAGACAACATTGTGGTGGAAGAAAGTGGTGTATTAGACGGACCTGGCTGTGGGCTTGGTAATGATGTACCTAAATACAAAGTAAAATATCATATAATCCAGTATATATGTATGTCGCATACGTGTGTGTGGCAATGGAATAATAAAACACATTAAGAATAGAACAACTTGCCAGAAGGGCACTTAGGTGGTGAAACACCGAGAGGTACTTCGGGATCTGCTAATTGACGAACTTGATGCAGTACGCCCTCGCGATGAAAATGAACCCCAAATACTTGTGGCAATCTTTTCATCAAGATACTCGCCATTTGAAGAGCTCCGATAACTATACGTAAATCTTGCGACGCTAACATACCAGCTATATGTGACGAAACCACTTGATTCTTTAGAACATCCTGTGTGTAAAAGAAAACATTAGTACATAAAATATACGTCACAAACAAGAAAATATATTGTCACTTAATATATATCTTACCTTAAGTAATATATATCTTAATATATATCTTACTTTAAGTAAATCAGTTGAAGCATAATACACCATACGAAGAAGAGCTCGGAGGCATTTGCATTTTACAGCGGGTCCAGCTGAACTGCTATAAACTTCATATAGTACAGAGAATAAAGTTCGAATAAAAGACACTAGCCATTCGTTCGTTTCAATTACCGGAGGCACAACATCCATACTGAAATCAATAATATAACTGCATTAACAACAAAATTGTTTGTAATCTTAAAAGATCGCAAATGTAATTTGTACCTAGATGAGCAAGTTGGACTCTTTCCCTCAGTGGGATTAGCGTTTACTCTCCGAAATATACTTCTTGTCATTCCTATATCCTCGTTAATTTGTTTCATCACAGTCAGATCTATAGTGTAAGTTCGTCCTAAGGAGGTAAGGCATATCTCATCTTCGCCATTTTGAAACGCCATCTAAAACATGTATTTAACGATTAATGTATTTAACGTATTAATGTATTTAACGATTTTTTTGTATTCACTCGTTGATTAAATATAATTACCTCGATAATTCTAGAGTCTATAGTACTGAACGGATGGGAACATTGTCTTTCGTCACGCCATTCCCACTGGACAGTCTCCTGTTGATTGCTGGTCCTTTCGAGTAAACTATTTACACTGAATATTCCATCTGTTGGTAATGGAGGCATAAGCTCCTCGATTAAACATGTAATTTCAAACCACTCCTGCGGTGTACGCGGCACCAACTCTACGTCTTCCGTTTTAACTTCCAGAGATCCAGTTAAAAGATAACTTAATGTGAAAGCTATATTTTGTTGCAGCAACAATTGCGCCAAGTCGGGACAGCGATTTGATATCACAGAGAGCATTCGTAATACAGTTATGAAATTGTTAGTGCTGTTAACCGGCGGCGTAATCATGAGCTGTAATAAAAATGTATAAACAGTAGGGACGAAGATAAAAACTCCAACAATAAGAAGTATTTCACTGATAAAGTTCATACCAGCTGTTGTAGATTCTGTAAGAGTTCAGCATTGATAATTTTATGCAGCATTACAGGATCATGTTGGAAACTGTCAACTAATCGACTGAATGCTTGACACACACACTCGACGCTCTTTTTATCTTGATTCGTTAATCTGCTCGTTAATAATGGCAAACTATCCACTACTAAATGAAAATCATCAGGATGAAGGTTTTGACAGCAGTTTGCGGTAATTGTTAACGCTGCACGTTGTGCTGTGATGTTGAAGAAATCAACAAATTTCAAACAGGCTGAAACCCCACCCTGAAAAATAACAAGATTTTGCAATTAAATTTTAAATAATAAATTTATTTTTAATTAATTGTAAATAATAAAAGTCATCACATGTGTTTCCAAAGCATCACATAAAAGGACAAATTTTTTTATCTAATTTGAACATTTGAAATATCTTCGTTATTAAGGGCACTATAGATATAGTATAGATAAGACCGACTATGACGCGCGAGACCTAGCTTTCGGATGCGAGAGAGACGGCACACAACTCTTTTCTCTCTAACAGACTTAGAGAGAAAAGAAAATTGTTTCCTCTCTCTTACACGAGAAGCCACCAGCAAATACTATATATAGTATATGCTCTATATATGCTATACATGGTTTCTATTTAGCGACACAAATCGACATAATTCTATCGTTTTATCTTTATTACTAGAATGCCAAGAAAGATAGAACGACCTGTATCACTAAATAGAGAAAGAACGCATTCCATATCTATGAAAAAAAAATTTCATATCTAAATTATTCTATTTAAAATATTTAAAGTATTTATATATAATTTTCCACTTTGAAAATATAAAAATCATTATTTTTCTAAACAATTTTAAAAATATTAAGAATGCAATAAAATCAGATATAAAGTCATCAAAAGTCACGATATTTTGATATAGAATATAAAATTTCAAATAACAATATAAATCTTTTGATGATTTTGTAATAAAAATTCTTATATATAAAATTATGAACTAAATCAATTATTGCAAAAAAAATACACGAGTAAATTAAGAAAAAAATGTAATTGTATTATATGCAAGTTAGGAACATGTGTACATACCGCATGTAAAATTGTTTTGCTATGTCTGCGTGACAACATGGCTAATGCTGTCAAACACTGTTCAGCTACGTCCATGCACTCGATCGATTCGAGTTTTTGTAAGAATACCGGCACTGCATCCACTACAACAGTGGACGACCGTGGCAGCGCCTCCATCATATACGTAAGGGCACGACACGCATGGGTCATTATCGCAAAATTATGTTCAATCCCCAATAAATTAATTAAAGCTGCAACCACTTGTTTGACCGGAAAACCGGTTAAAGTATCCTCGTTGCCCATTACAAGAATCTCTCCCATGTTCATGACGGCCTGCAATTGTTCTCCCTCGTCTTCAACAGCTTGTAAGCCGGCTAGAAGTTGTTGCGCTTTAGCAGCTGCAAATTGTTAGTTTAAAGATCAGTATACCGAATAAACGATATTTCGACATGCTATTTATAGAAGCGAAGTGTGTCGTACAATTAAAGATTATTTATAGATTATCATAGAGGTTGGCAAAAAACATGTTTTAAACAGTTTAAAACATGTTTAAAACATGTTTTTAACATGTTTTAAACACGTTTTTTTTAATATTGTGTAAAGCATGTGTAAAGTATTAAAAATATATTTAAAAAAAAAAACACCATGTTTTATTCTTAAAAAAAAAGAAAAGAAATAGTCTCTACCAACCATGGTTGTCACATGATAATAAGAATAGACTGCGCATTTCTATAAAATTGTCATCGATTTAGAGAGAGTGAGATAGTTTGAATCATACGCTCTCTCTATTTCTAAAGTAGTGAACTAAAGAGAGATATGACTCAATTCTTTCTAACAGAACACAAATGTTAAGTTCAAGAGAAATGCGTAGTCTATACCTATTAGAACTATAATCGATTCACAAACAGCGTGTGAATTGTGAACTGTCTCAATTAAGAGAGAAACAAGAGTTACAAATATATCGATAAAAGAATTAATTTTCATACCGGAACTTGCGCCCATGCTTCTGTTAAGTAAGTGTTGCATCCGCGGTCCTAATGCACCGAACACATGAGGCGGTAAACCTCTAGCCTCCAATAAAGCTTGCAATCGTCCAACTTCTCCATCGTCGCTTTCGCTGTCACCTGTTGTTCCTGACATTCCAGATGGTCCTCCACCAGCTTCGCGTGCAAGTAGGAAATCGAAATTTTGAATGACGCGATCTAACATCGTACAACAAAATTGATCAAGCATTAAATATCTATTAAGCTTAGACATCAATAGCATTTAACCTGTGGCGGATGTCGCAGTTGATGCTGACTCCTCCTCACCTGTGGTTGAGACTAACTGACTGCTCGGAATAGAAGATGATACGGAGGTAGCGCTGATAGAGTCATTGCCTGACATTACACTACCCAATCCACCGGAGCCGCTCTCCACCACCGGCTTCCTCACGCGTGATGAAGAGCGATGTCTGTAACAACGCCAGCCAGAGATATCGTTATAATTTGTTAACTGATTACGTAAGATCTTGTCAAGTTCGCAACTGAATTAAAAGAGAAAAGTATCTCTGACTGGCTACCTCGAACTCGAACAGGAACCCGTTGTAGTATCTTTCTTGTGATGTTTCCCCGAAGTCTTGTTGCTAGATGGCAATTCCTTCGGCTGTTCACCGGTAGCTTTCGCGCGAGAGCGTAGCAGGTGCTTGTGTGTAGAATGAGGGTGTGTAGGGTTGGCAGAAACGGTGGCAGACACAGGTGGATTGGCAGTGGCCGTTGAAGTGATGCCACTCGTGCCTGCCCCGTCATGTGCCAACGCCCCCCCACCACTCTCCACAGAGTTACTTGCTGCGTTACCCACTCTGATGCTGGACTTGACACCCAGGACTTGACTACTCGTGCTGCTACTCGTTGCGCTACAGGTCGCACCGCCGTGAGATTTCGAATCTAAAATATCCAAATGTCATACAATCATTGAGATACATAAGGTAAAGACTAGGGTGAAACTTGTCGCGTGTGGCTGTCTAACTGCGCACATTTTTATTTATATATGGATGTCAAAGTTGCTGTATAAATACATATATGCAACATTTCTTATTTACACTTTCGATACACGTAAAATATCTTCAAAACGAAAAAGAAAACAATATGACTCTTATTCCGTGTGCACAATTACAAAAGTCAAACATTTTCGCAAGTTAAATCATTATATAATGTATGATTTCTATCATGATGTGTCTTATTTTATATACAATTTTGCCTGTCGATTGTAAAAATATCTATTAAATATTTTTATATAAAAACCAAGCATAATAGTTTTTCAAAACTGTTCTTTTAATTGGTCTTTTATGTTTCTTTAATTGTTTTTGTTCAGTTTATGAATATTAATAATCTTCTTAGTTAAAATCATATAGTTTTAACAACATTTAATGTTGCATATTTTCTCAGAGATTAGAGATCGCGATATTAAGACAATATTAAGTATTGTCTAAATACCAACAGCTATGATAGATAAAATGTGAATTCACAAAGATTATGCACCTATTTAAAATAAATTTCATTCTAACAATTTCGTAATTTACAAGCAACTTTCATCGAACAACAGAAGAAAATCTTAAGCAATTTCTATTTGTTATCTGAAGGAAAATTTAATTTTTTGCAATCGGTAATAATACGGCATAGTTAATACAAAACACTAATTATGTTTAATAATGCTGTACTGTAATGATCCAAGTTTCGACATGGTATTGTTTGATTTCCTCGCATTAAGAAAAGAAACTACGTGTCATCCCCATTTCCATAAATCTTGAAAACTCGTATTGTGGCTGCTAGAGCAGGTACAAATTGTATTAAGATAGATTTGAGAAAAAAAAAAAAATTATCTTTTGAGATAATACATCGAGTCTTACGAGATCAGAAATTAAACCTGGGTACTTAATAAGATAAATTTTTCATTAAGGCGAAAAACGTGAAAAGTAAAAAATTCCTCCATTAGCTTCAATGATAAATATTTTTTTATTTTTCATGTTTCTACCTTACATGATCGTTATATTGGTCTTAATCGCTCAGTATATTGCAAGTTTACAAGCTGAAAAGTATCAGAATTATTAAATATATCTAAAATAGGAACATTTTATACATTTCATTAATTCTAAACTCGCATAACAGCCAATTACTTAGCAAACATAAAAGAGAAGATTAATGATTAGAAATGATATCCGATAACAAAGATATTACTAATAAAAATCATCTTTCACACTCTTTTCAAGATGAAAGCTTCTTTTAAAAGACTAGAATGAATTAATTACATTTCTAATATTAAAGCAACCTCAACTTATAATATTTCTGCGAGAAAATGCTGTAGAATATGTCAGTTTGAAGAATGTCGACATGAAAAAAGAAATTTCCGAAAACAATTGTACTTGAATGTATATTGTATTAACTATATTCAATCAATTCTATTATGTATTGAAAGAACGAAAGCAAGATCGATTTAATCTCATGATGATGTACAGAATTCCACAGAAAAAAATTGCTTATCCACAGAATTTCCGACATCAGTTTTAACATATTATCTCGAGAGTAATATTAGCGATACAAAAAAATAAAGAAATAGGAAAAAATAAACATTCAAAATTTTAAGATATTTATTACAACTACCATAATAAAAATTGGAATTGTTATATAAAAAATAAATTCTTTAATATTGCATACATTATGATTCCAATTGTACAAAAAAATATTATTCTAAATTAGAACCAAAATAAAAACTGAAATAATAATAATAATTCCGATATTGATAGCTTTTATAATATTTTATTCAATTAAAAGTTATATATATATAGTATTAGATATACATATAATTGTATGGTGTATGATATGTTAGATAACTTTACGAAAATGTTTGCAAACAGTTCATAAACTTCCAGTACGATTTTTGTACAATATATTTCTGAATATAAAAGACAACTTTTTCTTTCATATTATAATTTGAAAATACTTTTTTCTAATTTTTATATATCCAATTATATAAATTATATATAAATTATTAATATACTCTTATTATGTGTGTGTAACAAAAAAGATTTAGATTTAACGATACGTTAAATCACGATGATGCGTTTTTAATTGCCGCATTCGTGATAATTGTCAGATTTAATAAAACATAAGTATCATAGAAGTTGAATAGAATTGTATTTCCCTTAATTATATTTACATAATTAATATCATGCATGAATGAGTTTGATACAGAAGTTTACCTCATATTAAGTACAGTAAATGATGATACTTGCATATGGATGTATAGAGAATAAGTTCAGAATGGAGAGTTCAATGACTCGGATGTTCATTTAAACTACTCGCGAATTTGTAAGAGAAAATAAGGGGAAGGAAGAAAATGTGGTACGAAGAGTGTGTACTCCTTAAGCTTACCTTCTTGATGGTAGGTTTGTGTTGATATTGGAAAAAGTGCTTTGACAGCAGACACAAATCCTTCCAGACATTCGCTCATCCTCTGGCCTAATGATACAGTCTGATCTATGACTCTTATCTTGATAATACTTGCGTTTTCTAAATTTTATTATTTATTCCTATCTCTCGAAACATTTTCACACTTTCTTTGCTTCTTATTGATCAAATCATTGCCTTTCATTTACACAAATATTACACACTGTCGTTATATTCATGATTGATCTGACGATATTGGATCAAAACTCGTAATAAAACGCACGAATTCTGTATCATATATTTCTGTATATTGTTTTATATTTCCAAAAATCAAAAATTTTTCAAGTCTGCTAATTAGCAAACATTACACAAATAGACATCACAAATAGAGATAAATTGCGTACATATGCAAATATAGAGATATGTATTTCATAAAGAGCTTTTTGTTTGGATTTATGTAAGCTAACATATTACCTAACTATACAATTTGTTCTTTCTTCTCTCTGTATGCATTGTTTAAAAAATCAAATTTACACTAAAGAATCAAATTGTTTACCGTTCTATTTTTTTTTGTTATCAAATCAGAACTACAAAAGAGAATTCTTTTAAACTTAATAGAGTAATTAACATTGCTTAAACATAATAAAATATATTATAATATATCTATAATTAAACATTTTAAAAAGATTTGTTTTCTTAGTTAATATTGTAACATTTATTATG